GTCACAAACTCGAGTCCCCATCTCTGCCTAGGAGTAGCTTTGCCTCGTCTGTTCCTGTTGGGCTTTGAAGACATCCTGGAAAGAAACATCAGCTGTGCTGCTTCCATCAACACCCTTGTTTATAGATGTTGGAGATCGGCCTGTTTTCCAGTGTGGTCCTGTTTCTCTGACCGTGACTGAGTGGATGTGCTCTCTTCGTCCTCTGTCATGGGTGCTGGCTCGGAGCTCGTCTGCCTGGCTGTGTGTTTCCTGGACGGGGCCGCCTTTTACAGCTGCTTTTTGTGTCTCTGCTTCTGTCTTCTTGAACCCCAGTCAGCCTCAGCAGATGGTCGCTCACACTGAGCCTGGTTCTGCTGGAGGTTTCTTCCTGTTAAGAGGGAGTTTTTCCTCTCCACTGTCGCTACAAGCATGCTTAATTTGAGGGATTGTATTTGAGTCAATGAGTCGATGCAATCAACTGTTTTTCCTTAGATAGAAAACTTTGTATCAATTTGACTGTATGATCTGGTTGAACTGTAAAGTGCCTTGAGATGACATGTGTTGTGAATTTAGCGCTACCTGTATATAAATAAACTGAATTAAATTGAATTATTGGTTGCATGGGACATTATCAATGACAGCCTGTATTTGTGACCCACTCTCCAACTCAATGATTAATAAAGATACAATTTTTATAAAGGAAAAAAAAGAAAAAGAAACAAACTGAAATAATATTTGTTTCATTATTTTCAGAGAAAAGATGGAGAGACGTTCAGAGGAGGGGCAGCAGGAAGTCCAGCAGGATTGGGGTAAATTATCAGGGCCTTAATAGTGCAAATCACCCCTTTCTTACCTGAAACTTGGTTTTATCAGTTTCTTTAACAATGACAAGCAATGAGATTGATTAAGTAGCTGATTGTAAACAAACTTTATTTGCCTGTAAGTCATCAACAAATAGGTAATTACTTACTGAATCTCTGTGTGGGGCAACAGGATTTTGTGCTCTTAATCACATTTTTTCTCTCCATTCAGTTTAAATAAGACCTGTTTCCGATTTCTCTCTGCAGTTAAAAAGCTATTTGATGTTCGATCTGAGCTTGTAAAGAGGATTTCTTTAGAAGTCCTGACTCAGCTACTTGATGGCCTTCGAACAGATCGTGTTTTTAATACTTTGGAGAAACAGGGAATACTTGAAGAGAACGCAGCCACAGCAAACAAGGCCCGCTGCACTATAGATGATGTGATGAAGAAAGGACAGGAGGCCAGCAGAAAGATGATCCAACGTCTTCAGCTCATCGATCCTACACTATCACGTGAACTGGGTTTGCCTTCTTCTTCTGTTCAATCAGGTAAGTGCACACGTTTCCATAATACTCTTTTTATTGCAGAGCCTACTGTATTTTGTTTCTCACCTGTAAATGCAAAATAAATGCTTGTCAAATTTCACCAAGAACAACCAACACCTCTATTTATTTTTTAATATATTTATGCAGTTTTGGTTCCTCTTTGTAAATCTTCTTTAAAGGAAAACAGAAAAGAAAAGGATTTTCATCTGGGCATTACGCAGACACACTCTTTACAACAACGCCCTGTGCATTCACATGTATTTACAATTGGCTCCTGCTTTGTCATTCTGTTTCCGGAGGGTGGGTTTGTTTTAATGTTCATTGTGATAGGATTGGTTTCCTGTGGAATGTCCAGTTCGGATCTTTGTTTCATCATTTTGGCTTCCTGTTTGGTATGGGCTAGTTGAGCTTGCACTGTTTGAGCTTTGGCGTAGGCCTGTGCGGCTGAGAAACCTGTTGATGATGAGGATGTCCATTGAGACCTTCTTATGGGTGCTCTGGAGACCTGCAACATGGCGTCCAATGGTTGAAACGGCTGCTGAGTTGGAGCTTGTTGAGTGGCAACTTCTGGTTGTCGATCACCACCAGTTGCTTCTTGTAGCCAATCAGCAAGGCAGTCTTTCAGATAATTATTTCCTGAGTGAAGACTCATGGTGATTAAGGTTGCTCTGCATGCTTAAACCCGCTGTGTATGTCGTCTTTTTACTGTGCTGTCCTCACAACACGTGACCATGTGAAGCTAGACAGCCAGCGAACAACATGAAAAAAAGTTCTCCACACAAGGCTTGCTTTTCTTGCATTCTTTTAAGAACCTTTTTTCAAAAATCTGGTTTTGATTTCTTTCTTGCATTTGTATTTTGTATTTGATTTTGTAAAAAGACAAATATCTCCCAAGGAAGAAGTGTGTAGAACATTTCAACTTCAATATTAAAAATGTCTGTAGCTTAACTGCTGAAACTGGATTTTCCTGAGAAAAAATACGTTAAAGATATTTTGATTTAGATCACTCACTACCTTGCGTATTTAACTTATAGCTCTGCCAAAAACGAGATGTCTAACTCTGATCTATTATAAACCCAAACTCTTTTCAGCTGCTTTTTAACATGGATTTCCTTAGACTAATTTAAACTATGAACTAATTTATTGTCTTATTTATGTAACTAATCCATGCCATGTATAGCTTGCTGTCTTTTAAGAAAAGGGAGGACAACCCCTGTATCTTTAAATTTGGTTTACTGCCTGGATCTTCAATAAAACTAAAATAAGCCGTATTTCATGTCAAAAAGAGGAATCGTAGGAAAAAAGAGAAGTGAACTTGTGTTAGGGGTTGGGACTTCCTGCATAGGCCTTTCTGTGAGTAAAACACCTGCAACCACCTGTGTGGCAGTTTTGACAGACAAAGGAAGAGACTGGCTCTCAGCCAAGCAGGTTTCCTCTCATGGTCCAATCACCAAATACAGAACTGGTAAGAAGAAATTTAAGTTAGGTATTAAAGTATTGTTTATTAAAAAGAGAAGTTGGAAGATATTGGAATATGGCTTGTGGCCTGGTAATGTTCAGTTTATAATTTGCTTAGCCAAAGTGAAAATGTTTGATTTAAAATTTTTTGTTTTGAACTAATTTAATTTATGTTTGTCAATTTGTTTAGAAAGGTTTTAAACCTTAATCCCAACCCCAGATTCTCTGACAAATCTAAACAAATTAAACATGATGGAAAAGGATTTGAATTGTGCCTCGCGTCCTTCTTGGTGATAATCAGCTGTTTGTCAAGTTTGGGCAGGAGCTGAAGCTAGAAACTACATATAAGTTGACACTGTAAAATTGAAGAAAAACAAAGTTACTTTAAATAATGATTAAAAACATATTTTAGAGTGGCTTTTGACTGACTTATCTAAAACGTATTAAGGATCTAACAAAACATTTATTTGTAATTGATGCTATTGTTTTTTTTGTAAAAAACTTGATTTTAATTATTTACTTAATTATACCTCTCACACTGAAAAGTACATTTCTCTAAGTATTTACTTGTAATTTTGTATGTATTATACTGTTGCCTTCAAATGCGCTAAATAAATAAAGTTTCCTGAAATTGATGAAAACTGGACAAATTCACATTATTAGATTAAGCATAAACGGATCTAAACTACACAAACAACCTAAAAAATTGCTAATTTATGCTGATGTAACATTTTATCTTATGATACATTTTATAAAACAGAGTTCTGACATGACTAGGCAGGATTGGTCAACCATCCGTCAAAATTATTACCTACCTCACTCGCTGATATAATTGTATATAATAACAATTATGCATGTGTTGTATATGTGTATTTAGTACCTCATTGAAAATTCTGAGTAATTTTCCTGTGAAACAAAAATTAATAAACAGCGTGAACATTTTGCCATTCATGTTCTGTGTGCTTGGTGTACTGAGTGTTTTTTTTTTTTTGACATGTGCTTGGTGTAATAAAGAGGTTGCTTGTGTTATTCATTTTTATTCTTTTTTTTTTTGCTTTGCTCAGTGGCAGGGCTCAAAGGTTGTTTTTTTTCTTTTTTGAAACAATTTCCCCAGCTAACAAAAATATTCATTCAGAGGGAAAATATGCTTGTTTATCCTATTTTGCAGCAGGTCCTCTGCTCAATGAAGAGGAGAAGCAGATAAGTAATGCTGCACCTCCACTATTGCACCTGTAACACCTACAAAGCCAAGATGACAGCCTGTTATTACGTTGTTCATGTTACCTGTAATGTATTTGGCATTACTAAGAACTTCACCACTTGCAAAACATGATACTAGAAATGTTATACTACTGGAAAGCATACATAGTATTTAAGCTTTCTAATAAGCACATTAACTCTACATTCACTTATTAGTTGGCTTAAAATCTAAATATTTCCACACTTAGGAACACTTCCTTGATGTTTGCTCCCTTAAAGGATGATCCAAAAACTCTGAATATCAAAAAGCAAGAGTTGATTCTAACGTATAATACAAGTAGAACAGGGACATGAACCGGCGCTTGAGCCATATTGAATACATTGAGTCGTGCCAAATGTCCAAAGCTCCGAACCACTGCATCACCAAAATTACCCTGTCGAGTTTGAAGCATTGTTGTCCGTGCCTCTCTGTCACCAGACTAGAAGGCTTGAGTTCCGTGCTTTTAGCCATTCCCAAAACTTCCTCATTCATCCAGGATCGTTGGTCGCCCCGTGCAATAATGTTTTTTGTGGTGCTGATGTATTCAATGTATTTGTTGATGTAGGCTGACATAGTCATGGCATATTCATCATTATTTGTCTTGCTGGTTTAGGTTGCTGCAGCTTTTAAAGATGTTCCAGTCAGAGCATTCAAAACAGTCCTGGAGTTTCTCCATGGCCCCCTCCATCCACACACTGGCCTGCTTTACTGTTGGTTTAGCCCTGATTAGTTGGGGTCTGTATGCAGGAATCAGCATGACAGATAGGTGATCTGATGACCCGAGGCGGATGCCGGGGGTTGCTCTGAATAAAACTTTTATGTTGAAATAAAGCAGGTCTAGAGTGTTCTGACCCCAAGTTGTTTTGCCTTTACCCACCTGGGATGGGACCTGATTATCACAGGCTTGGTTTTGATCACCTATGTGCCTTGCCACATTTTCATGGTGCACAGTTCAAGTTGGCAAGTGTGGTCCTCAGTGCCTCTCTGTCACTAGACCTGGAGGCTGAGTTTAATGCTTTTAGCAATTTCCAAACCAGGGTCGTTGGTTGGCCCGGCTGATGGTGTTTTTTTTTTTTTTTTTGGTGCTGACATCCTCAATGCATTTGTAGGCTGACAGTGTCATGTTATACTCATCCATATTTATCTTGCTGTCATAGGTTGCTGCAGCTTTGAACATGTTCCAGTCAAAGCATGGAGTTTCTCCATTGCCCCCTCAGTCCACATACTGACGTGGTTTACTGTTGGTTTAGCCCTGATTAGTTGGGGCCTCTATACAGGAATCAACATGACAGATCAGTGATCTGATTACCCTAGACGAGGGCAGAGGGCTGCGCTGAATCCAACTTTTATGTTGGAATAAAACAGGTCTAGAGTTTTCTGACCCTGAGTTGCAATGTCCACATGTTGGTAAAAATAAGGGAGCACAGTCTTCAAGTTAGCCTGATTAAAATCCCCAGCAATGATGAAGTGTGTGCAGATTGAAGCTCAGAGATAGCCTGGTATAGAGTCATCATGGCCTCTTTTGCATTAGTGCTGGAGGGGAAATAAACAGAGGCAATGCTAACAGTGCAGTTAAAAGTCAGAAACTCACTGGCTATCGATCTAGCAGTTTTACACAAGTTGTTGTTTATGTAAACACAGAGCCCCCCTCCTCTAGTCTTACCACTGAGTTTGCTGTTTCTATCAATGCAGTTTAATGTGAGTCTCTCCGGCTAAGAGCATTATCTGGTGTGGATGAATGAAGCCATGACGCAGTCATAATGATGGCACTGCAGTTGCTAAACTATTTTTTGAAGAGAGTTCAAGTAGGAGATAGTCAGTTTTGTTATCCAGTGTGCAGACATTGCAGAGTAGGATTGATGGAATTGGTGGCCTGTGGGGATTCCTTTTTAGCTTTGCCGTTAGCCTGCCTCTGCAGCCCCTCTTTTGTCATCTTGCACTTCGCATCCTCTGGCCCTCACTTTGGTGTGGCCTGGTCCCTGAGCATTTATTTCATCCATTGGTAGCACTGTGCAGCTTTTTAAACAGTCAAGAGTGGCTGTATTTAACAGGCCAGAAATAAAATTTTATGACTGAATTCCAGCAGGCACTGGTGTTACACCCCTGTAAAAGGGGAAAATAGAAATACAACACGGACACGATGCAGGTCAGTCAAATCCAATGTTGTAATGGACAAACAAGAGAGCAAAACATGTGTTCACATTGTTACAAATGTAATTTCTCTTTTACAACATATTGTGTAAACAATATTCTTAAACAGCCCTTTTATGGCGTTCTTCCTAAATAAACAAACACAATGGGAGAA